AAAATACTCTTTTCCTGGAAAATACCCAAACATTTAAAAATTTGGTACATAAGACAGTTATGTTAAGAGGATAAGAAAATATAAGTTCTTATTTCCTAATAATAATTTCCTAATGAAACTCATTAGATGCCAGAAAATGGAATTCTGTTTTTGAAAATAAGTATTTATAAAATATGAGCTATTGCTAATTCTAAGGCAGAAGTGACTCCATCATAAATAAATCAGAAGAGTATTTTGTTAAATTTAATATCAAATATTAAACTTGCTGTTTAATTATTACTATACTGTTACTATTAAGTATTAGGTATCACACCCTGATCATACACAGAGCTGAACCATAATGGTAAAATTAGATTTCTGTGATATTTGTAGAGCAAATCTGCTTTCTGCTTTTTATGCCTTAAAGCAGAAATGAATTATTTCAACTTTTGTTCTTGGCTGTGCCTCTCAAACTCACCCAAAATGTTGTACACTGTACATTGTAATTCTTGATGTAATAATTATTTACATAATTACAGAGGTGATAAGAATTGTATAAACTATATTTAATTGTAATTAAAAAATCACCTTCAGATTGTTTTGAAATGGTTCAGCATACATCTTAAAGGGAAAAGTTGTATATCCCTGCCTTAGGGCTTACCTGTGAAGCTGAAGAACATTGATAACCACTTACTATTAGTTCTGTGCTAGTTACCTTCACCTACACAGGCAGTCTGTTCCACTCAGTAACAGTGTGGAGTAGGGGACTCGGGTTCAAGTCTACCTTCAACTATGGAAGTTCATGGGTAACTTTGGGCCAATCATTAGCTTATCTGTTTCACAGCTTATTGTGAAGAGTGCCATATATAGCATGTTAAGCTCCTAAAAAACTAACTTAGCCAGTGACAACAATCTTCATCAATTATAAATCTTCTTTCATAGTCAGTTCTGAGTCATGGCTTTAATGGTTTTGTATTGATCTTCCATGTCAGCTTTATCTTTGCTGCCATTATTGGCATATCATGATAATCCCTTGGTAGGAAAAAAAGCACCATTTGGGTTCTTCTTTGTACTTTTCTCATAGTTAAGTGCTGGTACAGAAATGCTGTTTTCTTTAGGCTGACTTACCTAGACTAGAACAACATGGTTATTTCCTGTAAATGCTGAGTAAAATACTGTTTTCAGTTCCCCTCTCTGTTAACTTGTTATGTGCAAAGTATTTCATTCTGAAACATCTCACTTCACAAATGATCTTAGTTTAAAGGCAAAACACTAATTTTCTGGGGTGTGAAATGAGGTGTTCTGAGCTTTTTTGGAATCATAAAGTTTTAGACATACTTGGCATGCCTAAATCGAATGCCAAACTTTTCAAATATTTTAAACATCTTTGTTAGCTCATATATGTTACATCATTTTAATATGAAAAAATATTTATATTTAGTATTGAGAAAGAAATGGTATGTATGGCATTAAAATATTTTACATTCTTTAGATATATCAAAATTTGACAGTGATGAGGAAGATTCAACATCAGTCTTTTCTTCATCTTTTATTCCAAAACAAACAGAGACGCTTTCAAGTAAAACAGCTGTCACTAAAAAAGGCAAGTGTTTACTAGTTAAATTTACTTTATTTGCTCTTCTAAAATTTAATGTGCTTGATAATTAGTATAAAAAATATAAAATGTGATACCTTCATGTCTTAAGATGAGAACATGCTAAACATTGCTCTGTTAAAACATGTAGAAGACTATGTGCTAATGAAACACTGGTATAGTACTGAAGTATAGGTACAGAATACAATCTAGCACATAAAACTGTTAACAGTTTTGAAAATACTGCCCAAGAAGTAGTTCGTTAATATTTCCCATGTCATTGAACTAACATAGAGCACAAAACCAAAAACAAGTACTGATCTTTCATACATAGTTATATGTGCCAGGGTATGGAATGGGGAAAAAAGAATTAGTAGAAATCTAATATGTTGGTGCTTCTGCAATTTAATATTTATTTACATAATTAACAGCAAAACTATCATCAGAGGTGCCCTCTAAGCTGAAAAGATCTCCTAAACCTAAGAAGATGGAAATAATAAACTCTGATTCAGAATCTGAATTTGGTATTCCAAAGAAGTCCATAGTTTCCAAAGGTAAAAAAAAGCTGATGTTCTAAACTTCAAATTGTCTTAACCCTGTGACACACATTTCTAACCTTACTCTTATTTAATATTAAAGTAATTGCTTATATTGTTAAAAAGCAGCAGCTGAAGCGTATTAAGATATCTTTTTCTTGTATGTGTACTTACATACAAATTTAGAAACATTTATTGAACTCATCAAACAAAAGCAAGTATATTATAGTTTTATTTTATTAAAGAACCTCTTAGTGATATTAAGATCTCAGAACAATGTAAAATCAATAAAGACAGACACAATAAAAAGGAAAAAGTAATTCAAACTATAATAGCAATAAGGCCATTCCTCAATGTAAAAAAATCATTTAGTGACTGTTTGAAGTTACAACAGCACTGAAAAAAGTGACTTACAACCATTGCAGCACCCCAATGGTCATGTGATTAAAATTCAGGCACTTGACTCAAATTTATGATGGTTGCAGTCTTCCAGGCTCATTTGATTATCTTTTGCGAACTTCAGACAAATCTGGAAGCCAGATTCACTTAACAACCATGTTACTAACTTAACAACTGCAGTGATTCACTGAACTGTGATAAGAATGATTGTGAGACAAAACTCACTTAAAAACTGTCTCACTTAGCAACAGAAGTTTTGGGCTCAATTGTGGTCGTAAGGACTATCTGTACAAAAACAATTCAAATGATGTACATTCTTATAATTTGCAAAATATAGCCCTCCCAAAATGAGATGCAGAAAAATGCTTCTTGGCTGACCTTAATATTCAAGAAGGTTCAATTTGGAATAGGCATTCCATCAAGTATATGGGCCTACTGTTTTTCAGAAAAAAAGTCATCATAAAATTTGTGTGAATCTGCTTTCTGGCAGAACAAGAAACTAGCTTGTTTCTCATAGCAACATACATAACAATCCAACAGCAGTCACCAAAACATCCAGATCTTAATTTCTTGTCATGGCAGAGGTAAAGAAAAGATAGAAGAAACAAGACAGATTTTTATCCAAATGGCCTGATTTCAGTTTGTGTAGAAAACTGAAGGTCAACAACCTCTGCAGTATTCCGTACTTACTAGAATTGTTGAATTTTGTGAATATAGTCTTTGAATACTTTCCAAAACTAAAATATGGAATGCTTTACAGATGCTTGACATGTGATAACACAGTCGATCCCTAAAGCCAGATCTTACCACTCTGGGAACAATTACAATTGTTGCAGGAATTCCAATTGCGTAAATGCACTCTGGACACCACGGAAAACAGTTATTTTCATGTTTAGAGTTAAAACTACAATAATTTGGTCTGTGAGAGAGAGAAACATGCAAAGCAGTTGAATGTTTGTCTTATCTAGGTGTTTTAGCTTCTTACATATGAGCCAATTTAAACAAAGTTTGATTGGATTCTTTAAATTTTGTTGAAAAGGAAAAAGCTGGGTTTCCTTCAGTGCACTAATGCTTGGAAACTCCAAGAAAGCTCTGTAAGTATTTCTATAGACAAAGTATAAAATAATAAAAGAAAAAGCACAATTAAGATGCACAACATAAAACCAACTATGTATTATCAGCTAAAAGGCATTTCATGTAACTATTGGTTGCCATAGCATTTAAGAGATCACTATGTCTATGATATTTTAATCTATTAATATCATATTAAGGATACTAAATTGCTAAAATTTACTTTTTATTAATACAATAATTAAATTTGGATGCACAATTTCTCAAGGATAAAAACATAACAGTTTCTGTCTGTCATTCGAAGACCTTGCTTTGAGAGATTGTTTATACAGTAACAAATAGCAAGGAATGTTGGTTCTATTGGATTAATTATTATCTGAAAATAATAGTAATTCCTCTAAACAATTTTATATTTAATGATTTCTCTTTAAAACTTTATTTAAATTTTGTTTACTATGGTGGTGGTGATGATGATGATGATGATGATAATGATGTTATCCATTCAGGTGTGTCATCCAGTTTTACCATTTACTTTGGTAAAACATACAAAGAACTGAGGTAGATTCTCCCTTCAATCTTTCAATAGGAAAAGGCAGGGGAGCAAAGAAAAGAAAAGCATCTGGTTCTGAAAATGAAGGTGAATATAACCCCGGAAGAAAACCCCCCCAGTCCATTGTGAGCAAGGTAATTTAACAAACTGCTGGATACGTTTTGTGGTTATTAATGAAAGCATTATAAAATAATTCATGGGTTAGCTTGCATATAAACTGTTCTTTCTAAAAAAATTGCAACCTAATAGCTTTAAATGGCTGCATAATTGAGATCTTCATCAACAGTAACTCTTAATAATTATTTTAAAACAGAAACTGAAGAAAACAGCCTTTGATCCGGATTCTGATGTAGACATTTTCCCATCTGATTTTGCTTCTGAAACAACTTCCAGGCCACGGACAGGTCGGGCAAGAAAAGAAGTGAAGTATTTTGCAGAGTCTGATGAAGATGATGATTTTGCTATTTTTAATTAAGTGCTGAACGAGCACACAAACTTCCAACAAATATCTTAAGTTGTCCTTTTGTCCTTTTCTGTCGCAAACTTTTTGTACATTTGACTTATTTTATGTGATGTAATTGATGGTTTTTATTATTGTGTGTAGGCATTTTAACATTTTGTTCTTACACTTACAGTTTTATGCTCTTTTTTACTCATTGAAATGTTATGTGTCTGACCGGCTTGTAGAAATGTTCTAGAGAGCTGTGCAAAAGCACACATTTTAATTGTCATGGTTGCAACCAGCAAACCTTTTTGAAATGAAGTTTAAACATTAAAAGTATAAAACCGTTCCCTTGTGTATAGAGCTTGCTCTAAATAATTTTGTTTACATAGGATCAAAATAAATATATTTTATTTTTTGCCAAGAGAATTCATGGAAAAAGGTAAACAGCATATGAACATAGAAAGCATTGTTAAACAATCTCAATGTACAAACAGAGCCAGTGAAAGTACATCACAGATTTGCTAGAATATATAAAAAAAAATCCACTAGTGCTTTTAATGAAACCTAAAAAAAACCTGACACTTTAAAAAATTGTAATCATTCTACCACATTTTTCACTCTGTTTTATGGTGATTAGCAAGGTGAAAGAGGCAGATTCCAGCATCTGTTTCTAGGTGTTCTAGTGCCAGCCCTGTGATGCCACAGAAAAGAATGATAGGACTGAGGAACATTTTCACTAATGCCACCGACTCAGAGGTAGTGATTATGCCTGGTTATTATTTCACCAAGTTTCCCTAATAGCTTGTGAACAAGTAAAATAACATAACACTGTAAAGTGTTTTTGCCTTGAAGGCTATAAATGAAGTAAAATTTCAGTATTTTTAAACGTAGAGAAGTCAACAAAGTAATAAACCCTTTGTATATTTTTAAAGTGACATTAACAATAGAACAAGTTATGTTCAAATAACTGAGCTGGCAGTTACACTCCCACACAAGTTACTTCTGCTAATACAGTGAAATTCTTTGATCTTTTGCTGGGAAAGAATTAATACACTGAGGTCTTTAAAAAGAGCAATGATAAGTTTTCATCCTAACTAAGACTGTGTCTTTTAAAATGTTTTTATCCAGACAAGTATGTTGTCCATTTCTAAGGGATGTCTGGGACATTTCATGTACACATTTAAAAAGGGAAAGCACCAAACATCCAGGATAGAAAGTACATATTCATATATTTTATATGTACAAAGTTATCAGAAATGGTATAACCACAACTTTTAAACCTCCTCCTTGAGATCAATCTTGTCACTTGGACATTCAAAAAAGGCAATAGTAACATATCAGCTTATTTATTTCATGAAATCACAGTCCTACTAATGTAGAGAAGTAATGGAACTTACTCCTGATGTCTCTGTGTGTGTGTGTGTGTACATGTATGCACACATACATGCACAAACACATATATGATTCTAATGTTAGTGTACTAAACATGTTTCAAATTAAGCTGTAAGTTATTCCTTTCTGTACGTGTACGCATACTCATACCTTTACATAATATAGATACATATGAACAATTCTTGGTCTTTTTGGGTTGTTGTATCTGTAAAAGTCCAGAAAACAAGCAGCCGTAGAGTGAATATGCCATGTCATCCTTGTACATCAAGAGTTAGGAATTTCCTTGGAGAAAATGTCTTACTGCACCAAAGGAGATTGAGTGATACTGCTATTATCTACCAAGCTTGGGGAAATACTTGGACTGTGGTCTGCTGTGGTTACTGTTGAGCTTGGTGTCAATGGTTCATGTCCTTCTGAGTTCTCCAACATTTCCTGGATAAGAGGTGGCATAGATCCAGGGATTTCCATTTTCAGTGTAATAACACGTTCAGCACCTTATGAATTGTTCAGCCAAGGGGGAAAAATGTAAAAAGTTAGTTGGTTTTTTTACCTTATTACATGGATTATTGCAAGAAGCCATGCCCAGGTTTGGGTAACAGCAACAGGAAAACTGTTCTGCTGATTAGAATGTTTCTTATCTATTCAGAGCTGATGACTAGAACAAAGAATCTATGAACAATTCTAAGATATATTTAGCTATATCCTCTACTGATTAGCTGAGCTATATATCTGTGCATTGGTAGTCACCAGATCAGAAAGCTGAATGCGATGTCTCCATTAATTTTTTCCAGGCATCTCAACTCAAAGAAAATGGTAATTCGTTTTCCTACTTCACTTTTTTCCTCTTACCAAGTTTTCTTTAAAAAAAATATTGTAGTCATGCATCAGAATTATGGTGTTACAATCACAGTCAGGTACATCGTCTGTATTTGCTTTTATCTGACATATTCATGAGTGAGCTGAGCCAGCAAGAGAAATAGGATATTTAGAAATAACATCTTTTAGCAGAACTTCCTTAGGATAGCATTTTCACAGAAATGGGGAAAAGATTCATGATTTATTGAGGAGTCAAAAGAATGATATGGCTTCCCCAAGAAGGGAGTTTAACCAAATATAACTTAGTTATAAAAAGTGGGAAAAGGGGCACATAACTAAGGCAGAATATCAGCAAATAGCCTTAGCCTGCAAAGATAAAGCCAGGAAAACTAAGACTCAAAATTAACTAAGGCTTGCAACAAAAATTAAAAAAAACCAAAAAAAGCTTCTTTCAACATGTAAAAAATAAGAAAAAGTCAAGGAAACAATTAGTCCATTAATGGGAGAAAATGGGAAGAAAGTGAGGAGCAACAAGGAGAAAACAGAACTGCTAAACTTGTTTTTTGCATCTGTCTTTACATAAAAAGGAAAAAGCAGTTCAACCTATCAAAAAAAGGAGAAAACAGATTAGGATGCAATTTAAAATAGGCAATAAAATGGTAAAAGAGCATCTGTTCACTCTAGATGAGTTCAAATCACCGGGACCAGATGGATTACATGCCAAGATTCTGAAGGAACAGGCAGATGTGATCTCAGAACCACTGAACTATATCTTTCAAAGATCCTGGAGCACCAGGGAACTACAGTACCAGGGGGACAGGAAAAGGGCTGATGTGGTTCCCTTCTTCAAAAAAGGGAAAGAAATGGGCTCAGAAAACTACAGAATTATCAGCCTGACACCGATACCTGGGAAGATTCTGGAAAAGGTAAGCAACAAATCTGCGAACACCTAGAAGCAAACAAAATCGTAACCAAAAGCCAACATGGGTTTGTCAAAAACAGATCATGCCAAGAAATCTTATTGCATTCTTTGACAAGGTGATGAAATTAGTGGACCAGGTAAATGCTGTGGATATAATTTACTTGGATTTCAGTAAGGTATTTGATAAAGTAGGCCACCACTTGCTATTTGATAAGATAGAAAAATATGGGTTAGACAGCATTACCACCGGATAGATTCATAACTGGCTGACTAATTGCACTCAATGTGTAGTCCTCAATGGAACTGATCTACATGGATTTACAGATGACACCAAGCTGGCAGGAATAACCAACAGTCTATAACAGTGGTGGCGAACCTATGGCACACGTGCCAGAGGCGGCACTCAGAGCCCTCTCTGTGGGCACACGCGCTATGCCCCAGAGATGGCAACCATCCCTCTTCAAGCAGCCGTCTGCTAACTCGCTGAGGTCCCACATGGCCAGATGCATCCTAGCATGGCTGGTTTCCCTCTCCCCCGTCCTATCCCTCCTGGCCTCGCATGCTCTCCTTTTCCCGGGCACAACCCACTGCATCGCCTCCTCAGCTGTCGGCCGGCCGTCGAGCTCAGAGGCGGCTTCTCTGAACTGCTGGCAGCGGGCTGCAGAGCCCTAGAGTGTACCGGTCAAGGGACGCTGTCAGCCCCCATGTGCTCGCTGGCCTCTGTGTGCGGGGGCCAATGGTGTCAGGAAGCAGCCACCTTGGCCCCTGCATCGCCTTGCCCTGCAACAATGGCACCCCTACCCTACCTCGCCTCCTCTCACCCTGCAGGACAAGCCTCCTGCCCACTGTCCCACCCACCAGAGACCCCCTGGATCTCCCCCAACCCTGTCTGGCCCCACAGAAGTCCCTGCCCACGAGCAACATCGAGGTGACCACGCCTACCTTGGCCATACCCACCCATTCTGCCATGACCACCACAGCCACGCCCACCCAGTGGGCCACGCCCACCTGGCACCTGTTGATAAATAAGTGGGTTTCAGGTTGCAGTTTGGGCACTCGGTCTCTAAAAGGTTCGCCATCACTGGTCTATAAAATAGATTTAAGATACAGAATATTGACAAACTTGAACATTGGGCCCTATCTAACAAAATGAAATGCACAGGTATAATATAAGTGGTATATGATTCAATAGTAGTAATTGTGAGAGGGATCATGGAGTCCTAGTGAACAATCAGTTAAATATAAACTTGCAATGTGTTGCAGCTGCCAGAAAAGCCAACACAGTGCTAGGCTGCGTTAACAGAAGAATAGAATCAAGATCACATGAAGTGTCAATACCACTCTATAATGCCTTGGTAAAGCCTGCATCCAGTTTTGGTCACCATGATGTAAAAAAGATGTAAAAACACTAGAAAGAGTACATAGAAGAGCAACAAAGATGATCAGGGGACTGGAAGCTAAAACATATAAAAAATGGTTGCTGGAATTGGGTATGTCTAGTTTAATGAAAAGAAGGACGAGGACAACATGATAGCAGTTGTCTTTATCTGGCTCTATATGAACATTTAATCCTATATGTTACTACTTTACTTAAAAAGTAATTCTGCAATGATAACTTTTTGTTATTGATGAGCTTTACATAAATCAAATTTATGTAAAGCTCATCATGATTATGTAAATCAGAAATTTACATAACTCAAGAAGTTCAGGATCAATATTTTGTTTTCATTAAGGAAACTGAATTTATGCAAACATAACAAGCATACCTAAGGAGTTGCTATAAAGAGTCAAGCTATTCTCCAAAGCATCTGAAAGCAGGACAAGAAGCAATAGATGGAAACTAAGGAGAGAAGCAACCTAGAACTAAGGAGAAATTTTCTGACAGTTAGAACAATTAATCAGTGGAACGGTTTGCCTCCAGAAGTTGGGGATGCTCCAACACTGGAAGTTTTAAAGAAGGGAATGGACAACGATTTGTCTGAAATGGTATAGAGTTCCTGTCTGAGCAGGAAAGACCTCCTAGATCCCTTCCAACACTGTTATTCAGTAAAAGCTACTAATGCCTTTCTAAAAATGTACTTCTGTCACTCTTTTAGCATTAACCAGCTGGTCAATACTTGCAGTCTTCCTGTTTGCACATCTCCATCTTCCTTACCAAGTTATCAAACTTACCTTTTGCACTGATACTGCGCAGATCTGTGATTTTCATTAAGATCTTTGGAAACATATGAGGTTTGCTGGGTCTTCTTTTTCGGATGTATATTTTGAGAGCTTCTAATAATGGCTCCTGTAGTTCATCTACTTTTGCTGGTTCTTCAAGGTCCTGACGGTCTGAGAAAGTATAATAGTTAAAATACCCAAACATCAAACTGTTATAAACATATGCTATAATGGCTCCTATTTTTCCTTGTTATTACTTGTTCTGGAGGTTTAAAACAATTCAATTCCTACTTGTCAGCTCTGTGGTGGGTAACACTCTTTGCACAACTTGTTTGTTTCTAACTGGTGAGGCTGCAACTGATGAACTATTTTATTTCCTCTTTTCCAGTTGTAGACCATTGCACTGCCAAATGTAAATATTTATTTAAAGTCCAACAGTAATTATCCATAAAATTTTAATTTGTAAAACAGTAATATAAAACAACAAAACAAATTTAAAAGGTTAGTGTACATTCTTTCTTTTATCTGTTATTTCTTTCATATTCCTGATCCCAGAGCAAAATTGCCTTTGGGTGCCAGTAGGTGTCAGCAAACGATTAAAGGAAAGCTGGATCTTTTGCTTTCCTCCATTCATTGATGTTTTTAATATTTCCTCCTTAATGTATCTACCACCAGATTTTGCCTGAAGGAATGTATGAAGAAATATTTAGATTTTGGCTGTGCTTTCCTCCATTTCTTTCCAATATTCAAATAATTTTTAAGTACTGGTCATAGCAATCCAACTTTGATTACGGTGTAGTTTATTTCTCAAGACATTTCTTTATTTCTAATCCCTTTAGACAGAATTCTCTGTTTCACAGTTACCATACCATGACCCCCTCTTCTCTTTTTCTTCAGTTACCACCAGATTTCATCTCTTGAGTCTGGAACATTAAGAAGCCAAAACAAATAGAAAAACATGACATACAGCCTGATTACTTGAGGGATCACCTATCTCCCCACTGTATCTGCTCAGCCAGATCAATTCAGGTTCCTTCAATTAAGCAATGCTATGTATCCGAACCCTGAAAGAATGCCTACTCTTGCTGTATCTGCCCCTTGGAAAGAGCCCTCCCTTCCCCCAACACTGAACAGTCCACATCCTAGTAATGTTTCAAGAGAACGGAACACCTGGCACTTATCCAAGTCTTTGGTGGGGATGACTAATGCTTCCTTTTAACTTAGGTAGGTTTGTTTTGTTAACCCAGTTGATTATTCTACTACCTCACCCCTTTTTTTTGTTTCATTGTTTTTATTGTCATGTTTTAAATATGTGCCAAACTACAAAATCGCTGAGAATAGGGCAGCATATAAACTGAATATATAATAATTTATAACAACAAGGCTTTCCTAATATCTGATCTCAGTAAGACAAGAAATGTTATTTTTGAGCAATAGCTAGCAAACTTCCTCCTACTTCCATGATACTGCATCAAAATTTAAGATCTTGTTGGCAAAATCTAGAGAATGCTAGCCTATACAACTCATTCCACAATTAAGCTCATGTCATTCAAACACACCTCCACAAATTAAGCAGATGGCACTAAGCAGGCCAGTTTCAGTGTCATCCATTTCCAACGGCAGAAGCTGATTGGCAAATGTGAACACAAGATCTGTCAGGGGACCAAATCCAGCATTATGCATCTGAGTTCGATTTAGCGTAAGGCCATCAGAAAATGTCATTGTGTCTTGTTCAGGGGTGTATCTTGTGCAAATACGGAGGATCTGGGAAAGAAGGAAAGAAAGAAAAGTTATGTCAATTTAGGAAGGGTAAAAATGATGAGTTTTGAAAATAATCCTTATAGTCTCCTTCAATGGGTTTGACTAGACCAAAATATCTCTCTACAATTTTGGAGCCACCTCTTAGCTAAATTACTTTTTAAAAATTCTATAATGTACATCTTATGCAGCCAAATCCTAAATGTTAACTCAGGAGTTAAGACTCAAATATTGTGTTTGTTCAGAAATACTTCTTTGAGGCAAAATATTTTAGGTGTTTTGGCCAAATGCTCACTTTTTTTCTCTATCTTTTTTATATCACAAATGTTTTAATCACAAATATGTATCACATATGTCTTAATAAGCAATAAAAATTTTCTGTCTGCCATTATTTCAACTTTTCTTTCAAGTCAAGAAAGGGAAGGGGATGTATCATAGACTAAAATTAGTCTATGATACATCAGGATTGGGTTGGAATTGATCAAGGTTTGTTCTCTATTTGTTTGTTTATTAAATTTGTTTGCCTTCCATTTCACAGCGAAACAATAAATACATATATAAGCATATAAAATTATAATAAATTTTTAATAAAAATACAGGTAATGATTAAAAGAATATTATTATGCTAATACTACAAAATACTACAGTGAATTTAATTTATAAAAAGTGTATCCTGATTGAATGTTAGAGAAATCTTTCCAACAATAACAGCAGTTCAAACTTAACCCTAACCCTAACCTGTGACCAAGGAAATAGTCTGCTTTCTATTGCTCACTGTATTCAAGTGGAAACTAGTCAGCCCTTCTGTTGTGTTCTATTCTGGATTCCTTACAGCAGAAGTCTTCCCCAGCCAATTGAAGTCCACATGTCTTAAAGTTGTCAAGGTTGGAAACCTATGCCTTACAGATCAGGATTTGGAAGTGAAGGCCCAGGTGACTCATTCTAATTTTGAACATTCTCAGAATCTTGGTAGAATTTATATGAAAAATCACGCTGATGCTAGGAATTTGACAGCTTGAAATCTTAGTCCTCTCAGAATAACAGGGTTGTTATTGGAGGTCTTCTGATCCAAATCCCTGCTCAGGCAGGAAACTCTGTAACATTTTAGAAAAATGGTTGTCAAATCTCTTCTTTAAAACCTCCAATGTTGTAACACTAACAAGTCACTGAAGGCAAGTCATTCCACTGATTAATTGTTCTAACTGTCAGGAAATTTCTCCTTAGTTCTAGGTTGCTTCTCTCCTTGATTAGTCTCTCCTTAATTAGTTTCCATCCATTGCTTCTTTCTGCCTTCAGGTGCTTTGGAGAAGAAGCTGAGTCCCTCTTCTTTGTGGCAGCCCCTTAGGTATTGGAACATTGCTAATTGTACAGGAAAAAAGAAGTAGTCCATCCTGCTAATACCTCCTCATTCTGCATATTATTAATCTTTTTAGAGTTTTCCCATATAGTCCAATGGAAGAGTCATGGTGTTGTGAGTGTATGTGAGAAAGGAATGCTGCTAAAGTTGATCCTGCATAAGAAAAGACCATCTTCAGAAATGAAAAAGCCATGATCTGAGTGAGAATGAAATAAGGTTATCTACTTTCATAAGTGCCCCAACTGAAAATGATCCTTTTTTTCCAATTATCTAATTTCCTCACTTCTAAAGCATTCAAGCTTTTAAGAATATACAAAGAGCCCATCCTCTTCATCCCTGCATCTCCTAAAAAACCTGAGACAGTAATTTACTATATATTCTCAATCATTATTAATTAGTTTCCAAATAAAATGGTGAATCCTAAAGAACCACTTCATGGCCAAACAGAACATTCAATTCCAAAGAATGGTAAGACAATGGAAACTCTAAAGATTCCAAATATTGATTGCTTTAATTTTTATTTCTAAATTAATATATTGACTTTTTTGGGTAGTTCATATTGATAAATGAGTTTTTTTTCCTCTCACGGAGGGGGGGGGGGAGGAACCATTTATGGCTCATATTCATTAAGTATATTATTTTCCTCATAATGAGACAAATCTGTATACTATGATTATTTTGATGGGGTTATATTATGGCTACGCTCCTAGCTCACATCTGCTGACAAAATGAAAGAATTGGAATGCTGGGTTATTAATATCCTATGATGAGAAGAAGAAATGGGTAAATCTGTACAAACTTTTCAGACTTGAGTAAAAACAAAAATGGTGTGAGTTAAAACGACAGGGACACTTGGCTTCAATCCCAAGAATGAACTTCATATATGTAATATAAGCTATCTCTTGTTGCTACTTGAGAAGAATGTCGTCTGATTGAGTTACACATTTTTTGCCAGTGACAACAAATACATGTGGCATATTTTGTGCAAGATCCTTGTGGGGTTTTTTTAAAAACCTTTGCTAGAATCATTGCCTTTAAAGCTAGTTTTAGCAAACAAATGAAGCAAAAAATCCCCAAATCTTGAAAAATGAGCCTACCATATGCATTCGTAAAAGAGATGCATTTTCAAACTTTAAGCTTTATAAATTCCCTTATGAAGAATATATTACTTATTATAAATGTGCTAATGAACTAACTGCTAGCTAATGTGATTAAGGCACCAGGCTAGAAAATGGGAGATTGTGACTTCTATGTCTGCATTAAACAAAAAACTAGCTGAGTGACCTTAGGCATCACTCTTTCTCAGCCCTAGGAAGAAGAAGGCAATGGCAAGCCGCTCTCAAAAAAATCTTGCTAAGATTGCAAGGGCTAACTTGAAAGGACACCCACTAACTTGAAAGGACACCCACAAATGCTTGTTATTAACAATTATAATTAATTATAATTAATATTTATTTAATAATTGATGTTAATTATTTAATAATAATTATAATTAAATATAATTAATAGTGTTAATATTTAAATCACATTAAAATTCTTTCTCCAGGATGCCTTCTGCTTTAGGACTCTTGAACTTTTCTCAGAGCAAATTGGTGGCTGAGCTTAAAGAAACCATAAATATAAGAATTATACAAATATATCAGACAAAAATGAAATTATTTCTAAGCCAGCTGAAGAGCCATGCTTGTAAAAGTTCCATATTTTCTAAAAGTTATTGTGGAATGTGTGTTTGTACACATACATACTCAGACACACATCAGCAAAAGCCTACAGGTGTTTCCCTTCCTCACAGCAATATTGCTTTATTTAAACTCTTTTTTGTTTAATACACTCTACCTTTTATATTTATTTATTTGTTGTTATAAATTTGTTTATATATATAATTTATATGTGGAGACTTTCCTAAATTAACCGAATGTCTGTCATTCCTCTTTCTACAAAGTTAGTGTTTGCGGAAATAATTTAACACTCATACCCACTATTTTGACACTTCAAGACAAGTGCACCATATGAAAGAATGACATTCTGCTGCTGATCACAGTATATATGCAATAGTCCAAAGATATTTGAACCTCCAATTTACTGAACTATAGAATTGGTAATAGAGCTGCTCAGAAAGCAGAAGGATTTTTACTTGAGGCTATCCAAGGATCAAACGAACAAGCATAAGTTGTTCTCCCCTTTTCTTAGTTCAGAACTGATAACAGCAAGATATTCCTACCAACAATCAGGCTAGGTTTTGATAGCAAATAAATAATCTTGGAAAAATAACTAACAGTAACTCTGGAAAATTCTCAGGACTGCTCTAAGTATGTGCAATCAAAATGGACAACTGTCTCATATATGGAAGCTAGATAAATAGATGCACCTGCCTAAGTACAAGAGCTCCAGGGAAGAAATAGTTAAATCTATCATCTCCTAGGGGCAGCTGGCATTGCAAGGCTCCACAAGGCCAATTTTGCCGCTCTATCTCAGCCAGCTGATAGTGAGATCACCCAGAAATTGAAGGAAACCCTGCAGGAGGATGAATGGTTTAGGGAACACAGAGAGGAGATGACTATAAGAGAAGGTCTGGCTTGGAAGGGTTGCAAGTTGTATCTGCCACTCAACCCAAGAGTTCAGATATTGCAAAGGTGTCGTGACGTAAAGCCCGTGGGCGTTTGGTTTTATGAAAACCTACCTAGCCAGGAGGCAATTTTGGCGGCCTAAGATTATTAGGACATAGAGAGTTACATTGCTGGGTGCCAGACCTGCGCTTCCATGAAAAGATTGCCAGGGAAGCCTCCTGGACTGTTGCAGCCAGTGGCTAATTCCAGCAACCTATAGGAGAAGATTGTTCTGTCCTAGCCTACGTGAGTCCTTGTTAAGCTCACAAGGAGAAACCCCTCTTCCAATAAGCAGGCTGAAACCGCAGGAAAAAACCAATCCCCTTTTATTATTCACAGACCTGAATCAATGTCCAAGGCAAACAAACAACAGTTCACAGAAACTCAATCCTCAACATGAACGATTGCCTTTGGCAACCAGCACCTCCCACACCTTCCCTTTTATTATGCAGCCAAGGCGTGGCTTCCTAATGCCTTCTCCTTTGCCTTTGGAGCGGCCCCATTGCATTCCTCTGTCCTACTCTCTTTTCTTGCCGGCATTTACGTGCATCCTGGATATCTTCCAGCTGTGATTCATCACTATCCAACTCAGACTCCCAGCACAGCTGTGTCTCAGCCTGAGCATGAGTAGAGGGGCCAGGCTCCTCGTCAGACTGTAAGTCTTGGAGTTCCTCAGAGCCTTCCTCTGACTCTGATGTCACTCCAAGTTCCTCCTCCTCCTCTGATTCCTCAGACTCAGCTGCCAGGTCCACTGGCTGGTGAGAATTACAACATAGATAGTCATGGACCTCATTGTGGAACTGTGATTAACCTGTTTTCAAAACAAGCACATTTTGTGGCATGTCTGAAAATCCCATCACCCCGAACCTTGGCCAAGTTGTTCGTGCAGCTTATATTGATTATATGGAGTACCAAGGCGTATCATTTCTGACTGGGGGGTGCAGTTTACCGCAGAGTTTTGGCAAGAGTTTATCAAACTGATAGGTTCTTCATAGGGGCTTGCTTCTGGATCCCATCCGAGTACTAATGGATTGGCCAAGAGA